GCAAGCATCTTAGCCACCAAGCAACAGCTCCACTCAATCAACATTACAGGATTTGAACCCAGGACACTAGGATTGGAAGGCAAGTATCTTAACCAAAAACAAAGGATCCACTCCATTAACATTGCAGGATTTGAACCCAGGACCCTGGGATTGGAAATCAAGCCTCTACATTAAAGAATGAAGGGAACTTACACTTTACTGGCGTTTGAACCACCAGAATGCCTTACATGGGGAAGTGTTTATGACATTTACAATGTATGCGAAAGGTCCCGGTTTCGAGTACCGGTGGAGGCTACGTTTTCTTTCCTCTTCTGTTACATTTCAATTATATTATTCATTGCAATATTCTGCTTGCTGATTCTGGGTTTTTCCATGCCTTTAAATTTCATTATATTTGTATAAAAAGAATCTCATTTAAAATCCAACAAGCTGAAAATAATGCACAGAAGAGGGCGTATCTTACTGGCAGTTTAGTCACGTATGTTATTAGTTAGTAGCTACATCTCTACTTTAACATAGTTGGATTGAAGCCCAGGACTCTGCGATTGGAAGGTAGACATCTAAACAACAAATTTACAGGTCCATATTGCAGGACTTGAACCCATGTCAATGGGAATGTAGAACAAGCACCTAAACCACATCACTCGATCAACAAAAGGTTAACATTTTTTGCAGGTCACAAAGAAATCTGAGAGTTCACAATCCCTACAGTGACTATGCAAGCCCCAAAATGTTCGAGTGCAGCAAAATCGTAAAGTTCTGATGCATACAAAATAGTCACATTTGTGTTAGAATTACAAAAGAATATTATGTAATACAATGACTAATTTAAAAGTAAAATGAATCACTTAAATAATTAAGTTTACATTTAAAACTACAAAGGGTATTAAGTTCTCATGGTCACCATTTCATTAATTAATCAAATTTAATCAACTAATCTCAATTTCAATATATAACACAAAATTCATTAAATCAAGATTCTGTTATCAGCATTTCTGCAGGGAAAAATCACTAATTAAAACACAATAAACAGATGAAAAAACATACCCTAAAATAAAACCGAAACCAATAAGAAAATACTTTCAGAATTTAATAGAAAATAACCTTCAAGGCCATAAATATTATTTTGATGAACTGCCCTACTTTTAAAATGAGTTCACCAATCATATCCAGTCTAAAGTCAACAAAGAATTATTTATTCACGGAAAGATATAGAGGAATAAAATAGTTTGCCAGAGCTCTGTGGATGGTGGGTATACATAAGGATTCTCAATTTAAGAATGGCGGATTTATAATTTATAAAATTATAAATCATTTTAAAATGAGTTCACCAATCATATCCAGTCTAAAGTCAACAAAGAATTATTTATTCACGGAATGATATAGAGGTATAAAATAGTTTGCCAGAGCTCTGTGGATGGTGGGTATACATAAGGATTCTCAATTTAAGAATGGCGGATTTATAATTTATAAAATTAAATAAACAATCCACTTTAAATTGTTTTAACAGTGCTGAATTTAATAACGTGAAATAATCAAGTACTGGCATGGTTAAACGATTGTTTATTACAATTATTATTATTATCACTTAGAGCGACGTTCCGCAAACTATGGTCCGCAGACCAAATTTGGGCCACGAAACATTTTTGGAGGGCCGCCATCCGGGAAAAAAAATTTTTTTTAAATAAAATAACAAAGAGACGTTTCATCATGGAGAAAATAGTTTTTAACCCTCTAGATACCGTCTTCGACTGTAGTCGAAATTGACCTCAAACAGAGAATTCCCATTTTCGACTGCAATCGAAATTTAGTGACTAAAAAATAGGTGGTTTTCAAATCGCTCTTCTGTTTTTATTTTAGCTGCAATACGTCAGAAATTTTAAACACGCATGCGTGAAGCTTTCTTATTTCGAAATCTGTGAAGAACTCATATGCGCTTATATAAAAATGTTTAGAAATATCAATTTGAAATCGTTATTAATTTCGAAAATTTTCCGAAATGACCGCACAAGATGTGTACACAGCTGATGAAGCGATTGACCTGATTTTTGATTCAGACAGCGATGAAAGTGAGTTTTTAGATGTGCGAGACTTAGACGTGCCTGATAGCGATGATGACGGTGGGGCTTCAAGCAGTTCTGACGGTGGAGATGTTCTAGATGAAGATGAGCCTAGGCCTAGAAATGTGAGGGTGGTCGTTGCTTTTGAATGGAAAGATCGTGCTTATATTTATGGATGGTTGGGTAAATAAATTATATAACTGTGTGGAATAGGAATGTTTTATATTTGTTTTTATATTTTTTTGGCTATAATTTATTTTTTTTTTGTTTTTGCTGACGATTTATATGTAGCATTTTTCTGTCATTTCTATTATATTATATATTATATTATATTATGAAAAAAAATCCTAAAAATATAAATTATACATCAAATGAAAGCTTATTCTATAAGCTTTCTTTGTTTTTAGAAACATTTTTCTGTATAATTTGCAGAAAGTTCCCAAAAATCCACCAGAACAATGTATACTCAAAAAATGCAAAAAACCTAGTTACACTGCAAAAGAATCCGGTATTCAAGGGTTTGCACTACAAAAGAATCCGGTATCCAGAGGGTTAATAAAGGCGCTTCATTGTTACAGCGAATGCTTAAAGTGCCAGATGATGCATGCTATTTAAAGTTATAAGCGGTTTTTTGTGCCTATGGTCCCTCGGGAGCTAGACACTATGTTATCGTCTAGTATTAACCCTGTAAGATCGAGTAAATACAGTATGGAGGAATGATGGGATGGGTCATGAGCTAAAGATAAAAATACATATAAGTGGTGGGGAGTGGAACCACAAATGTACGGTATTATTTATTTAATGAAATAATATTTAATTTGTATAAAAATAAATTTTATCACTAAGAGAACAGATAATGATGTCAAAATATTGTATATACATGGAGACTTCATGATCAAAAGTTCTTGTCAGGATTTGGTATGCTGGTCCCTGGCGCAGCCGGGCTGCTGGGCCACGGCTTGGTGCCTGGAATCGTAAATAGGCCGTGAAGTAAAAGGTTTGCGGAACTCAGACTTAGAGCATCTAAATGATACTTTTGTAGGTTTATCGTTAATTTAACAGTACATGAAGCAATTTTCATTTTGTATAACTCCAATATGCCACAGAAAATTTATGTACTTCGTACGTTTCCCCGAGTACCAACAAAACATTAATTTTTCCCTAACCCAAAGGTATGTACAATGCAACACAAATACAGTATTATAAGAAACAGTCCCCTCCTCTTTCTTGCGAGGCTATATCTGCCACTGTATGTGCTATACTCCCTGTAGATTAAATTGTCAATCCCCACTAAGGCATAATTTTCTAAGACTAAGAAACCAGCAATATTTAATTAAAAATAAACATGCTTATTAAATTAAAATTATTAAAACCTCATCTAAACCGGTACATACGTGGAGGGAGGTTAGGTAAAAGAAAGTGGTGTATGTTTTAAGCGTGTGTATTCGTTGTGTTGCTTGACACATTTTTACAAATTGTTTATGTTCATCCAACTTCTGCATCTATTGTGTACAAAAACACACAGATATTGATTGGTAAACATTAAAAGGTATATTACCATTACATAAAGTCTATTTCATAGTGTGGTTAATTTGGCAAAGCGCCAGGAATGTTATTTAGTCGACGGATGATGGCGCTATACCATTTTTAATTATTTGTTATTTAGGTTCAGGTTCAGAAAGATAAAGCAACTTCTAAAGGTATTATTAGTATTCTTATTTGTATCTAAAGAAACAAACTAAAGGCTCTATTATTAGGCAAAGATTGCGCTAATAATTATTACCTTGTATCCCCAGGTAAAGAGCGGTTTATTAATTCCTACATTTATTATTGTTACCCAAGAACCTGTTGAAAATGATATCATTGATATTATATACTTAACCCAGACCAGCTCTTACCAAAAAACAAATGAAAACAGCAATAGATAACACTGCTGAGTGGTTGACAGCTATTTAACATTTACTTTATATGATTAGAGGTTGCTGATATATTGCAGGTTCAAGCAAAGTCCTGTATTTGGTTTCCATTAGCAAAATTGAAAAACTACCATCAAACTCTGCCTAAAGGTATCTTTAGCTTCGTTTCAGATGTAGTTCATAGGGAAAGATGGCAGGCGATATGAGGCGATATGAACTTCAAGTGCTAAGAGTTTACAAAAGTTCCCGACAGAAATTAATAACATAATGATTATGTACATTGGTGGCAGCAGATAGATTATATTAAAGCACTATTTATACAGTTCATTAAATGTACTGTCTAAAATCTGAAATAAATATCTTAAAATGTAATTAAATTATTTAATTTCTTATTCAAATGTTTACCAAAATATTAACCAACTTCCAATCAGAAACCAATTGAGGTCTCACTGATTTCAAAACTTATTTAATTCTAACATTGATATACCGGCCAATAGGGTCTATGAAAGCATTGGCAAGATATAAATTTTCTTGACCTAATTTAGCTACTTGAAATTTTAAAAAAGCAAAAAAGACTGTCTTTTATGAATGATAGTAAACTAATACAGTTATGTTTCATCGCATCAGTGTAAACAATTATTGCAAAAAACTGTATTGTGTACAACTCGATCCAAAGCCAGCCATAAATGTAAATTTAATACTATAAATAGTGATCAATTTAAATAATATAAATACTTACAGTAATTTATTTACATTTTTATAAAATATATTTTATTGATTGGCAGTTTGAATACAGTAAATAGGGCAACAAATGGATATATAATACAGCATTTAAAGATTAAATGGACAATAAACTTAGCAAGGGTATAGAAGCAGAATAATTATAAATAGTAACACAAATATCTCATGGACTTAATTCTAAGATATAATTTCGTCATGAAATTGAGACCACCTGCAGCACAGAAATCTCCTTCAAAATTTGAAACAAAAAAAAAGCTAATTAAAAAAAATATATAATTCTTACCAATGCAAGGAAATTGGATTTTGCATAATGCTGCATTATGGATGGTACTCATATTCCCCACGTAGTTTGCTTTTCGCAGGAGGCAGCCTATAGGACTCTTAAGAGGAAGATACTTTTAAAAACTGAATTAATAATTAAAATTGAATCGTTATCATTTGAGCAATTATTGATGCATTCACGGCAGTCGCTAGCGAGTCGTGGAGATCTGGGTCGGTTCAGGAGCAGCTTTATTCTTAGCAAATTGTGACAATTGCAAGAACTAGCAGTTGATTAGTATGGTAAGCATGGACCATCTTGGCGTACTTTTTGCATAATACTCTGTTTTTAAATTTCAATGATTTTACGTGCCATAAAACAAAGCCAATTCAGACACATGCAAAAGACAAACATCAAAACATAAATGAAGCTTTATTACAAAGTCTGAGACCTCATTTACTGCATCCTTCAATCGTTATATCGTTTTTCATAGTACAAGTATTACTTTGTAGTATGATACATTTTTTAAATGTTGCTAAGTGAAGGCCAGTGATTAAGATGAATGATGATAGAGATGAGTTGATAATGATGATAAAAATCAGGCCTGGAAATAAAATGTTTCTGCATTTGAACATAAAAATTACCTTTATAAAATACTATCTGTATACAATATATAGAACTACTGATTGTATGGAGCCAAAAACTTTCCTTTTTTAAATTTGTTTTTTAATAGAGGGATTTGGCGATGGGCGTCACATGACCTAACTTGGGTGTTGGATATACAATCCACTGACACAGCGGTGTTTTACATGGAGATTGCTATCGCGGCTGTCCCTTGTTTATTGCTGTAAAGATCATCATAATTCCCAGTAAACTATACGAAAGTGATTGGAAATTATACTTAGGAATTTTGCCTTAATGTTTTGCTAATGCTGTAAAGGATACTGGCCGCAAACATTGAGATTTTTCAACAAATGTTAGGCCTAGGCCCCTGCACATCTATGGCATGGTTAGGTATGCATGATGGTCTTCGACCTGCGAACTACGCTGCGATGTTAGAGCCAGCTAATGTTTATAAAGAATCACTTCAAAGCATACAATCCAAGGAGAACATTAGGATAAGTAAATAAACACTATTTTGAACAATCGTATTGCCTTTTCTAGCCATTTACTTGTCACGTTAAAAGTGGGTGGTTGTTTTCGCAACCATAAGATTATCTTATCCTATCGCACTGTATACTCAAGTTAGGTGATGTGACCGCCTGTAAACAATCATCGCCAAATCCCTCTTTTCCTCCAGGAAAACATTGACATCGCACAGGCGCATGCCTTTTTTTTTGGCCTGATAGAAATGATACTGAAGATGATAACCAAGATGACAATGATAGAAATGAAAATGACAACTCTGTACGATGGTGATGAGTATAGAAAAATAAGGATGGGGGATAGAATAAGTGTAATAATGACAATGATAATTATGATGATAAAGTTGCAAATCTCTTTTTTAAAGACATCTTAAAAATTAAAATTTTGATTGACTTTTATATAATTTTTTTAAAATTTATTTCCATTTAATTTACTTTTCCAGATATTTTTTATATTGACTGAATATTTTTTTACTAATTTACTTTTTTTATTCATGAAAATATATTTTCAGTGTACCTTTCCTAATTGATGCAGCACATTATCTTGGTCTACAAAGCCTGTGAATTTGTACTTATTTACAATTACATAAACGTATATAAATTAAGACAACAAATATTTCAAATTAAATTAACTTTCATACTCACCGAACTAATTTCTTGATTTGATTTCTATAAATATATTTCTCTGAAACCAACCACAAATTTTCAATTTATATCAATCTCCTCAATATTGTGTCCTTGGGCAACTAACCACTTACCATCAGTCATCAGATCTGGGTCAAATTGGTTTTTTTTTTTTTTTTTTTTTTTTTTTTTTTTAAGCGCAATATCAATAACAAGTGATATAGTGTATCAAACATTGATAAGGTGTTAAATTGCTTCTGGGTCTGTTTACAAATCACTATATTCAGTAGCTACTTTCAGTGCTACAGTGAACAATCAGGAAAACTGTTAAAGAGGTCACCAAGAACATATTTCTGCCTAGCTGGAATACTCGCCAGAAGATTGGAGAGATGGTACATGTTGTGTACAATGTTTATGAACCAAGTGACCAGGCAGTGGTCGTGCCACCAGAAGTGCTGGAAAATTCTACCTCTGTTGGTAGAGGCCAAGTCCCAATCAGCTACAGTATAACTTGGCAGACAAAAAAATGTATTTTTTGGCTTTAAACCATGTTTAAAATATCTCAACAAATTTTACCAAACTTTCCCAGGTTCTCTAAGTGATAGTGGTAAAGTCACCTGGATCCACCAGGGCTTTACCTCCAGCTGGCCTCCACCCGAAATGTTAAACCTTCAAACAGCTGAAAATACAACCATTGTAACCAGGAAGAGGCAAGCATTTTTTAGATTATCTGCAATATAAATTTCTATATTAGAATTTCAGATCTAACCATTAAAAGATGATAGATATTCCTATCAAAAAATGTAGAAGATATTTTTTGGAAGTACAGTATGTTTAAAAATGTGGGCAGAGATTGAAAAATAAACAGAGTACTTCTGAATGCAAATCCAGAATAAAGTGAAATTAAATAAAGAAAATCTAGTTACTTTCAGTACTTATGTATTTATTTTTCACAGTGGTATAGTTCTTATAACATCCCAGACTGCTACTTCAAGTACACTATTATACATTTTAAGTCATTTTTTTTCTTTGGAGCAAAAAATACATAGACCTGTCTTAAGAGAAAAATAATTATAAATCAATGGAACTTTGGAATGAAAAACACTGATATGAGTAATTGTATTCACATTAAACCAGAGGTGTTAACTAGTTTAAAACAAAATGATGGCAAAGATGCATTATAATGATTAAATTGTGAAGCTTAGAATTACTGTATTGAATTAAAACAAAATGTTTTAAAAATATGTAGCTGCAATGTTTAAAGTGGTTTGACAAAAATAGATTCCTGTCATATCTAAATCCATTACTTTAATCATTACCTACAGCAAAAACAACAAGTGTCATAAATCTAAGTATATAACTTGAATTTTCTTCCCTATAATTACATTATACGAAGTGTATTAATGTTGTGATTAAAAACTCACCATGTGAAACATAGTGTTGTACAATTTTATTGGAAGATGTTTAAGTAATAACAGTGGTCATAAGCAAACACATAATGTAAAATTTTTACATGAAGACTGATATATGGATCTAATGACATACCAAATCCGAATTAAACGTCTACTGAAAAAGAGCCGTCGTAGAAACAATTGCTTTGAGTTCCATTTTCATTTCAGGTTGATTACAATCGATTTTTAAGTATTCATAAGGCGATAATGCACTTTATTAAAACAATGGAAGGCGTAACTATCACTTTATATAACATTTTACTGGTGTGTCCTTTTAATTAATAGATAATCTCCATGACAACGCTACGCTATTGGGACTATGCTTTGTACAAACAGTTCATTCACAGTATTTCGTCCGGAAATCGTTGCGTTGTTTATTAACTTTTTGTCCCACGTTGCATTGTGGGATGGATACATGACATGGATGTTTCAACTTCACGGTGCTCACACAGACGGAAATCAAATTCTCCTTGTCGCTGTAACATGCGGAGAAGGTGATTTCCCTCTGTACGTCTAGCCATGGATTCCTCTGTTCGCCTTGAATGACTGAGCCCAAGGCTGTTCGTAGCTGACATTAACATGACAATAAACAGAAAATAGCGATCTTGTTGACATTATCTGTGAAATATTTTGTAAAGACATCGTAAAGAGGTGAATGAGTAAAACTTTAGGTATTTCGTCAGACTTTCATTGAAATTTTAACTGGTCATGCAGACTTGTTATTGGAATAATTAACAGGTCCACCATGCATTTTACTAGCCATAGGCCGGCGGACCAGTGTTATTTCGAACCCTGGTAAACAATACAAAAAGGCAAAAATTGCTCTGACCTTCATGAAATAGCGTTATATAAATGGTGTAGTGTGTGTATGTATGCCTCTCACCATGGTAAGAGCTGCATAATGCCTCAAAAAAATGGCAAGGCCTGCAGAAATACTATATTTACAGTACTGCTCAAAAAGTTTTAAAAAGTAGGTATCTGCATGATTTTAATGCATAAAATTATCATACACTATATTGTGAACCCTTTAATATATTCAACCTTTACTGTTTGCACACTGTATTGTTTATCAGCCATAAATTTTCATAATCACCAGGGATCAGACAAAACTAAACAAATGTCAAGAGTGCAGTCTGGAGATCACGGCCATTGGCTAGCCGAGTCTTGATTACTGTAGCTAGCTAATAACCTACTTATTACTATAAATAACATATACCTAAATTAGGAATTAAATACTGATGGCTTATGTAGAAATCACTGTATAAAGCCAACTATAATGATCATTATCAATAACTATAAAATGAGTCATCAATATAATGTAAAATAATTTAGATGAGTCATATGTAATATCTACTAAATAAGATATGAATAATAATAATAATAATAATGATAATAATAATAATAAGAATAATAATAATAATAGTAAATTCTGCATTAAAAATATCCCAAGATGTACTGCCTGTGTTTAGAGTTAATAATGAACTTAATAAAATTAAATACAGTATTTCAATTGCTAAATTTTATTGAGAAAGTTATAACATTTCAATTCAAAATTAAAATTGGGATTATATAATTATATGGGAGTCATATATGGTAATATATAATAAATAATAAAATAAGAATAATAATACTGTAACAATAATACAGTAATAATAATAATAATAATAATAATAATAATAATACACTCTACATTATAAATCAAAAGATGTACTGCCTGTGTTTAGTTAGTAAACTAAAAAAAATTCAATACAGTATTTCAATTGCTAAATTAGAAAGTTATAACATTTCAATTAAAAATTAGAATTGGAATTATACTTCCCTCTCAATTACCAAATGCATAAATACAAAGTATATTTTTCATACACCATAGATATTAAAGAGTTTTGTATTTAAAAATGTAAGTTGTTTTGATCGGTTTTATTTAATATTGGTATTTGATCCTTTACCACTCCATGTGTTTACAGTATTTTGGGGTTTTTCCAGATTTTAATAGTATAATATTTGTTAACAGCCATAATTACTTTTAAAACCTCCAAATGACCACATTGGAATATTTAGCTAATAATTTATGATTTATAAAAATATAACATCCTGTTGAAGAACGTCCCTGGTCTAAAGCAATCATTTTCCAACTTTATATCAATGAAAACTGTCTAATTTACATGTAATTTACTGTACTTGATTCAGTGTGTTGTTATGCTCTTTATTTGTTGTGGCCGGATTTGAGACAATCTATAATTGTTTTATACAAACAGACCTATTCCACACCTGTTGCAAAGTATTTCCTAAAACTATATTTCATCTGCACTGCAAGTGGCAGTCGATGGTTCAATTAATAATTTATGTTCTCCTTGAGTGGTCCTTTGGATATCAAACCGAATATAAATTTAAGCATTTGAGAATAAAAATGACTCCTGAAAACTGATGTTTTCTGATAAATAAAACAATACAGGTAATTATGTAATTCTGTATGCAGAAACCCCAGTATATAATTGGAAATTTGAAATTGTGGTGCAAAAGATTCATGAATGCAGACTAAAAATGACAGTTCAAGGAACTAAGAACCAAGTAATTTTTTATTGTATACTAATTGGGCAAGATTGATCATTGTTTATTTTTTATTTTATTTTATTTCAACCATCTTTAAAGAGGGTAACCCTTCCAGTTTAGCCCAGTAGGTTAACTGATATTCAGGGGCCCTCTTTAATAAAATCAAAAAACAGTACAAACAACATCATTACAACATAATAATAATAACAATAACAACAATAATAATAATAATAATAATAATAACATACAATCCTCATAACAAGTCTTAAAAGTATTAAATTGACTTACATAATGAAAATTCAAAATAGAAGTTTAATTTATGCCTAATATAATATAATGTAATATAATATAGTATAATATAGAATAAAAATCAAACAATGTAATAATAAGAATAGCTCAATAAAACTGCAATAAACAACGGCTAAGAGTTTAAAATATATCGTTTTAACTTAAGTTTAAACGTATTTTCTATTTGTTGGGTAATGCTACTTGGTCAATAAAGTGCGCCCTCTCTAATGGGATTAATTTTTGTACTTCGCATCTTGCACAATGCGATCGTTCGATTAGGCCTAAGATATGTTTGTTTAAGTGTCAAAATCTCGGTCAGAATCAGTTTTTTAACAAATTTGAAATAATTCCTATGAAATATTATATTTCACAAGAGCCAATACTAGCAACGGAAAATATCATGTCGGCCATTTTTATGTGTGATAACAGAACCTTAATGGAGGTAAGGATAGGCCTAGCCTAGCAGTGTTGGATAGGCTAATGTTTTCGGCGCCTACTATATTTCTTCACACGACCTATCGCAAAATCAAACACGAAAAATTCATCCACATGTATTTTTTGTGAGGAACACAAAAAATCAAATTTCAGTCTTATTTTACATTTTTTTCATTCTTAGGAATGTCCAAATTCAGTTAAACTAGCAATTCCGTATATATTTATAAATCTTTATAACATTATACAAAAATTAGATTTTTCGTAACTGAAATTTTGCCGGGAATGGGGCTTTAATAATATGGGTTTAAGTCCTGTAACACCATGCAAGATTGATTAAATGACTAACAAAATCTCTAACCCTCTTAATGACAATAAGTACAGAATATAGAATATCAATTATTTCATGTATAATGAGCAAGAGTCTGAATAACAGCTAACTTTATGCCATTATCTATAGGTCACCCTCTACTGTATGACTATTGTGGGGTCTTTAATAAAGATGCAATATCTTGTTCATGGTCAAATAACAACTTATTATTAAAGCAAGTTATTTTTATTGTTTTGTATGGAAGTTCCTCTATCAGGATGGAGAACAAATTGCCATAGGCGTATACAAAGAGTCAAGATAGCCCTCTACAAATACGGAGTTATTAAACAAAATTTGCTGGTTCATACTCATAGGCCTAGGCCTAGTCAAATTAAACATTCGCAAGCAAATTACTAGGCCTAATGTATTAGAACAAAAAAAACAATAACACGTGCAAACATAAAATCTTTAATCTTCTAGAGTATAGGCCTAGGGAAACTTAGGAGGGATAAGTATCAAAATAAAATAGCGACAAGCGGCCTGCCACTCAAGCAGGTGGGTCTGACAGGTCCGCGTGCTACAGAAGGCCTTCAAACTTCCTTCCCTTTGATATAACATACCCTAGGCTAATAACAAACATCTATAGGCCTAGGCCTATTTTCCGAAAAGGTAGTTTTTATAGAATTACATACTTATAACAAAAATGATGACTCTTGATATTACCTCCATTCTGTAATCTTTGATTGGAAAACTAGACCCCAAAAAAACACTAGGCCTACTTAAGCCGAAATTCAGCTCCCGCGCGCTAAGAACGTCTTTAGCGCCGAAAAACGTTTCCCTACTAGAGAGGGCGCTTATGATTTTTTTTTTTTAACAGGCACTGTACGTTTATGGTGCCTCAAAAAATGGAAATACACTGTACTTCAGCCTTATTGTAGAAAGGCTAGATTATTTGTAGGTTCCTCTACGTTTATATTAATATGTTTTGAATTTATTTTCATTCTGGACACTTTCAGGATATGTTAACAATTTAGATACAGACTTTTTTCTTTACATCTGTTGCCGATTTGTTGTTTTAATTTATAGTAGAACTTTGGTATTATAAAACTAGGGAACAGTTAAATTTAACAGTTGTAATTTCACTGTTCCCTGTATAAAACTATATAAAATCCCAGTACCACCCTATTGTTTTTTCAACATATCGTCCTTACGGATCTACAGTATTTTAGGATCGTTCGACTAAAAAAAGGAAACTATCCAGAATAGCGACACACCCACGAAACACACATAAATCATGAGTGGGTGGTCTCCGGGTAATGAATTAGCTTACGCTGCTGCTACCAAAAAGGTATGGGAGGTTCAGGACGTCACATTAATAATTATTTATATACAAATTATATGGACCAAAATTAAATACGACGTCAATTTTTACTCAAAATAATCAAGGCTACTTTTTTATTTTTTTGTTTCGTTGTCAAGACGACAATCAGCAATTTCAGAATGTGGGGCGACGTGCGACATCATTCGTGCACGGGTCTCTAGTTCATGATTAATCTTAATCAAATCAATCAATTTATAATTTCACTTAGATCACTGACACATTCAAGAAAGTCTTATTTGCACTTCTAAATATTAATGCAAGACATCTGTCAGCGTTGGATGGATGTTTGCTATCGGCTGTTATAAAGGGACGAAAATAATTCCACAGCAGGTAGGCCTACCGTGCAGTTTATTATCTACTCGTCATTTACACAATTACTAAAGAAAACGGAGGGAAAGCAGTTATAAAGCCATAATTAGACTAAACAATTAACTAAGAATGAGAATGGCTTATATGGTAGCAAAATAAGTAATACTAATGGTATCTATAGAAAAAAAATAGACCTACAATATGCGTGAGTCATTTCGACTTTAAAGAGACTTGAAAAGATGCATGATTTGTTTGATAGGTCTATGTCTAAAACAAACTCTTATAAGATTTTGTATCGTATCTTTAGACCACGGAGATCTGCGCGTATACCTATAGTTTTATTTATTTATTTATTATATATTCGGCATATACAGAAAACATTAAATAAGACAAAATAATGAAGCAAAAAAAAAAAAAAAATTAAAAAAAAAAAAAAAAAAAAAAAAAAACAGGTTAGCGGCATGCCAAGAGAGAATAATGGGCTAAGATCCTGACACCGAGTGAATTCTCTTTAAACCGTTAAGATGCTATATGCCCTATTTATAATCGTATCAAGTATAACCTTTCAACGTCTAGTGGTCTTGGTATGATAGTCGCCCTGATAGCGAGGGAGGTCGCAGGTTCGAATCCCACCAGGGGCATCTATTTTTCATACAACTGAAGAGCTATACTTGGTACGATAACATCATGTTCTTAGTTAAGCAAATTGTTACTACCATTTATCTATTTGTAATTGAAAAATACTAATTTTAATATAAATCCTTATCGCTGAAAATTTGTTATCACTAGATATAAATGCGGATGCAACGAGAAGACAGACACGGTGCTGAGTTAACGATGTTCCAACAATACTCTTCAATATTTTTGACAATTTGTATGTGTTCTTTAGAATTAGCTGTCAATCAAATCCATCAGGCGGCTTTAGATATCAACTTCGATGATCGATTCCCACACAATGATGGTGGTTTGGTTGATGGTAGGCTTTAGTTTCTAATTTACGACTCGTGAATATCATACAGACAGAATGTTCATCAATGAAAGAAGTTTCGGTTTCTGTTTAATTGTAGTCCTATAATTCACAGTCATGTAATGCATTGAGAGAGTAGTTGCTAGTGGAACAACTTTTCACAAGAAAGTCTTTCGAAAGTTGTTGAATAGATGTTTTCTATCGTTTTACATGAAGTGTGTATCGGTGTTATAGTAAGAGAGATGTGGTATTTGGGTGCACTTTTCACAAGTCTTATGAAAGTTGTTGAATGGATAAGTTTTCTATCGTTTCTTTCTCATGAAGTGTGTATCGGTTTTATAAGAGAGATGTGGTATTTAGGTACACGAGCGTGGTTTATGGCGCATGAGGCGAGAGCGTTTTTAATATCATATACTGTATCTTACACTTTCGGTGCTCGTGTAATGTTCTTAGTAATTTTTATAACCTCTTTTTTAGTGCATTTGTTTGACCTTGCTTCTTCATAACATACATCAACAGTTGCCAAAACCATTACAAAGTAGTTTTTGTTATTCATTTGTAAATACAGTAAATGTATTACATATTTCACTTCCGACAAATACATTCAGCACAACTTTGCCAAGGCATTTCTGCATTTTATTCAATTTTACCAGGAGTTAATTTGACAGTTTGTCAGTTGCATCAGTATATTATTGATTTTAAAATGTATACATTGGTAAATGATATTTTCACATGAACGGGGATTGGATATAAAATTGATGATGCAACAGCATTTCGTTATCTTTCCGAAAAGGTTACAAAAATAATCATGAACAAAAATCGGGTGGCAAGCGGTAGGACAGAGGCACCACAAAGTTACACAGCCTGATATTTTGCGCTGTTGCAAGGCTCTCCTCATCTAGGGTTCGGTTAGTAAAATCAAAGATACTAGAAATACAAGATAGAAGTCGTGCCCAACGTAGGCGGCGCCCTTCTTTTTAACCATGCAAGTTTCCCACACTTTGTGCCCAACGTACAGGGCGCCCTTCTGTTGCTAAGTATATCCAGACGCAAAAGGCGCCCTTCCTTTTCCACTAATGGAGGGAAACTTTTTCACGAAGAGTACGTCCGTCCGGCGATGCGATTCTGCGCTGTATTGTTGTTTTATTCTTTACTATGCTTTAATTTTTTTGTGTATTATTTGGATAATAGCAACGATTTCTACCGCCACCAAGGAGGTTATGTATTCACCGATGTCACTGTCTTTGTTTTTATATCTAGTATCTTTGTTGAGAATTGATAATAAAATACGCGACGAGTTGGTAACGAAAGTTTGGCACAAGTTTTTTTAGATCCAGCTGTAGGGGGCGTCCCATTTTTCGTATTCCCACCATGCAATTCGGTGGAACACTTTTTTTGTGTGGAGAACTCTATCTTGTATTTCTAGTATCTTTGGTAAAATCAAGCCTTCTTGGATAAGGACTTGAAACTGGAGATTCAGTGTAAAAATCTGATCTGTGTGCACATTAAGAAAACACTGCATCTTTCGGAAGAGGAAGGGTTAGGCAATGCTCTGGTGAATTTCAGTCTCTGCCGCCGTGAGCGTGAAACTAATAAGCGCATCAAAATCTTTATCTGTAGTCACAGATCCCGTCTATATGTAATTCAGCATAATGATACTGTGTGCTATGGTTTATTCTTTTTCCACACAAAACAATAGACGACATGTTTTCACATTTCAATCTTTTATTATAAAAATTGAGCAGAATGAAAAAGAACAATTTACAGCCAATCTAACATAACATAATATACTTTTATATAGCTAAAAACTAAGCAATACCTCCTTTGTACAATATATTTACAGAGCCGACAAAATACGAGTTGCTGAAGATCCATACTTAATGCGAACTTAGTTTCTTTAATAATGCAAATTATACCTCCTCTGATAAAATGTAGGAAAAATTGCTAAAATTTATTTAATTAAAACAATGGATTGTTCATTTAAATGGAAAAAATACATGGGCGTACATGGTTCATGGTCGTAGGCTCAGGGATGCTGACACACCCCCTATGGCCAAAACCAGCCTATGTCCTTGAGGTTGTTAATAAAGCTGTTGCTAATTTACAGATATTAGATTGGTTATCAGCCAAGTTCAGGACCTATGAAAAGAATACAGTAATGGTACAATTTATGGCCCTATCAAATGGCAAGGAACATATTTTCTTAATCTAATTTTCAATAAGCCATTTTGTAGTTTGAACTGTGCATGCCCATATCGAGGTCAATCGACATAAACAAACATACACACAACTTATGTCGATTAACCTTGGGTACGGGCAAATGTTTATTGAAAAATAATAACTTGGTTGAAGAAATTCAATTACAGTACTATTTTCTTAATACCACTTTGACAGTATATAACTCATTGCAAAAAACCGCTGAAAAAGGACATTTAGTTTATTTCTTGTTTGTTTATCAAAATATTTACTTATTTACATGATAAGCCTGCTTTGTGTGATGGGATGATCCACTCAACTATGTTTTGTATTGTTAATTAGTATCAGCATCATTATCATCCAACACATGATTTCATAACAATACTAATTGATATTCCTTCATAAACAAACTGAAATAAGAACTATAAATAATTCATTTCTTTACCAGGCAGAATAGAAAATTAACAACTGAAATAATTACCATGTTACTTAATTTATTAATGTTTCACATTCTTAAATATATTTCACTTTCTACAAACAAAAAATATTTGAAAATCACCACATTTTAACAATACTGTACAATTTATTAACAAAGGTCCACACTGTTACCCACCAGAATTCTCCAAATAGATGTGCTTGTATTAGCTGACAAGTGGCAAGTGTAGACCTGCAGTAGCTTTTAAAATACAATAAGTAGGACTGTCCACTGCACCTAAAAAATTAGCAAGTCAACAAGCATGTTTACACTTTTACCAAGTTTCACATCTTGTCACTAACGTACAAGGGACAAGCTTTATGTCTTGATACCAGATTGCGCCAAAGTACATTTTCTTATTTTGTCACCTGGGTGAATGGAACCAAGTTCTATATTTTGTCACCAGTGTAAGTGTAACTAAGTTTCATTTCTTACCACATAGCATCACATGTCATATTACAGTAATACAGAACTAAGTTCCATATCTTTTCACCATACTTAATTGAAATAAGTTCCATATCTTGACTTGTGACAAGATTATGTTAAACCAAGTGCCACCACATATAAATTGAACCCAGTTCCATAGTTGGTCACCAAATTACATGGAACCAGGTTCCATATTTTATCACCACATTAAATTTAACCAAGGCAAATATTTTGTCACCAAGGTACTCAGAACTAAGTTCAATGTCTTTTCAAACATGCATTCCATGTTTTGTTACCAATATACTAAGAACAAAACAGGTCTTCTCACAAGTGAATTTGTAACTACTTTCTGTGTTTTTTCACAATGTACTTGGAACCAAAATCCATGTCTCCTAAACAATACACTTGGAACTACTTTTTATGTCTTGTCACAAGCATACTTCAAACCAAGTCTCATGTCTTCTTACCAATGAATTTGTAACTTCTTTCTGTCTTGTCACCACTGTACTCAGAGCCAAGTTCTTACTCTAGGTACTGTATATTCTGTCCCCAGCAAATCAAGTTGTCTAACACAAGTAAGAATGCATAGCTTAAGCAACTAGGAAGTTTTCTTGAATGACTTTAAAATGGGGTAGATGTTGTTGAATGCATCATTTATTTCTGATCTAACCTTAGCTCCTGGAAGGTAAAAATAAATCAAAATTTATTAAAATTTCAATTTCATGCTGTAACTACATGAACTAATGCTTAGTGGTAAAGATGCTCGAATTACATTCTATACGAAATACGAAATACGAAGAACTTTATTGCAATCTCTCATTCAAAATTGAAGTTTAACAAAAGGGGAGAAAAACATTACAAAACAACTTCACAACCCCACTAAACACATAAATATTCTACAATAAAGGCATTACAATTAATTAGGCAACATTAAGTAAAAAATTCAAGTACAAAAATAAATAATTCTATAGATCCTGGGTTCAACTGCTGCTAAAATCCCTCACTAAACTCTATAACAGCCATATGATTTATGACATATCTGATGAGGTAGAGTATTGTTGAACTTCAGATTGCCTAACAACTGTTTTTCTTTTCAGATAAGTCTGAAGTATAGCACTGTCCATCTTTCAACAGCTTTATGATTTTTTACATCAGACAGTATGAAGCCACGCATGTGCTAAAAACAGATAAGATATTGCTTTTTACAGAAAGACACATGACTTTGTTTAATGAGATAAAATGAGCATTGAAAGTCTGTTTTAATTGGTAGTTTTCGCTGCACGATGTTAACCTTAACGGATGAGGTCATAATTTATTCATCTTGCGTTGCGGAGTACGTAAATTTCAGGATTTTACGTGCTCGACGTACGTTAGCTACGGGTTTGCGCTTGCGCATTTCGATTGGTTTAGAAAAAGGGGCAGAGCTATCGTGTTGCATGTTGGGTACTAACATTAAAGTTTAAGTTAATGTTGTGCGGCGAAAACTAACTATTTTAACAAACAAAACTGAATAAATTTAGCAATACTTGTACAACATACCTGTTAGCACAACTTTTCCAGATACAAATATAAGTAAGACAATTCTTGGCTTCACCATTCGGTAGATAAGACCAGGGAATAGTTCAGGCTCATAACTAAGAAGTAAAAACAAATGTGCAATCATTTAATTGATGAGAAATTTATAACAATAAATACATATGCAATAGTTTTAGGAGCAATTATCTAAAAAATGAATTGTGTAAATTGTGTAATAAGTTTAATGTTAGCAATTACATTTAAAAATTCAACAACATTAATCATTAATATATACTTAACAATTTACAATGAAAGTGAAATATTTGTATTTAACATTCAATGAACAATTTTATCAAATTATATGTAATAAAGTTTAATGTATGTTTTATTAACATTGAAAATAATGATTAAAAAGTGCAAAGAGTGTCTAAAAATTAGGCAATAAAAATATCATACAAGAAAACCTATTAATACAAGAAAATGAAGGACACTTAGTTATTATAGATACCATGCTACCTCTGTCGAGAAACAATTGTACAGTGTATTTATTATCTCCAACTTTGATTAAATATTAAATATTATTATTATTATTATTAAATATTATTCTTAAATGAGAATTGATTTCTAGTACGTAGCTAATTAATTAATATAGAAAACAAAGTGTATGTTCTCTGGCAATATGATTTTGACATAAATTAAATCTATGTTCTTTATAGAGGGCGACAGACAAATGCACAGGAAGGCAAAGATACAGATGTATAATATAGACAGGCATGAAGTTACATACACATATTGGAGTGGAGTTGAATAAGTTAGTGGTTAAGATCCTCACCTCCAAGCAAGGTAATTCAACAAAAGGACGCACATCTCCGCTCTCGAACATAGCGCGTGCGTACAG